ACTCCTTGCTATTGTGAACAAAGCTGCAATAAACATGGGTGTGCATATATCTGCTTGGATGTCAGCTATGGTCTCTTCAGGAGCATACATTTTTTTGATCTTCCTTATTCATTGTCCAGTTCTCTGATGCATAGGAAGAAATCAGTACAGGATAGCATCTGTTGTTCATAGGGTCACTATGAGTCAAGGTTGATTCAGCGGCACCCCACAACGATTACAGCACGGTTAGGTGTAGGGAACTCTGGTGTCATATTGCATTGTATGTTGCACTGGTAACCAAAAAGTTGGTGGTTTGAATATACGACCTGCTCCACAGGAGAAAGTTGGAAAATCTCCTTACACAAAGATTTACAGCTTAAAAATCCTTACAGTGGATCGCTGTGAGTCAGAAGCAACTTGTTAATAGTGTGTTTCTTTCTTCCTTTTTTGGTTAAGACTGTAGACACCATATGGAGCTCTGCTGATGTAGTTCATAGGGAGTTACGCTGCTAATCCAAAAGCCTCACTTCTTTGGTGGTTAAAATCTGCCAGTGACTTTGTGGGAGAAAAAGAGACTTTTCCCTGTTTACAGCTTCAGAACATGCACTGGACCACCAGCTGTCAGATTCGACTTGATAGATAATCCATATTAGATTCAAGACTTTTTTGCCAGCAATACAGTGCAGTGGCTGCAACAGTGGGCTAAAGTTTAGCAGAGCTTGAGAAGATAGTGCAGGATTGGGCCATGTTTCATGATTGTGCATGGTGTCATTATGAGTTGGAGTCGGCCTATGGGAACTAATGATAAAAACAGCATGTTTATATACGTGCTGTGTTAGTCACTGAGATTGCTGATGGCCAGGGAGGTGCCCATTAATGGCGGAGAAGATGGACATAGTTTCTTAATTTAGAGAATTCAAATTCTAAGAGTGTGTGAGTGAAAATATTAAGCAATAATATAATCATCAGGGAGCTCTGGTGTCCTAGTGTCAAGAAGTTGTACTGCAGTCCCAAAGGTATGCGGTTCATATCTACCACCTGCTCCCGGGAGAAGGATGGGCAATCTCCCGAGTGATTAACTGCTTCTGAAAATCTGCCGGAGGGTCAGCTATGAGTCACTTCTGATGGTACACAACAACAACAACAACAGAACAACTATATAATCATCTACTATAATTATATACATACATGTTTTTATATATTTTAAATATATATAAGCTCTGGTGGCCTAGTGGTAAGAAGCTGCACTGCAATCCTAAGGACATAGTTGAATCCACTATTTGCTCTGCAGAAGGATGGACAATCTCCTTCTGTGAAACTGACTGACCTATGGGTCAGTCCCAACTCAACAGCACACAACAGCAACAATATAATAAAAAATGATAACTAGTGTTGTGAAAAGGTATGGAGATAGGTTACACCTTTCCTGATTGTGAACCATGCAGTGTTTCCCTGCTCTGTTTCGATGACTGCCTCCTGGTTCAAGTATAGGCTTTGCAAACACAATCAAATGTTTTGGGATTCCTGTTCTCAGAATTAGCTACTGTTTGTTGTGAGCCATAGTCAAATGCTTTGCATAGTCAATGAAACAGATATTCCTCTGGTACTTTCTGTTTTCAGCTAAGAGCCATCTAAAATTGGCTATAATATCCCTAGTGCCACAGCCTCTTCTAAACCCAGCCTACACATCTGGCAGTTCTCTGTTGATGTGCTTTTCCAGTCATTTTTGGACAATTTAAAGCAGGATCTTGTTTGCATGTGATATTAATGATATTGTTCAATAATTTCCACATTGTTGGGTCACCTTTCTTCGGAATGGGAACACATATGTATCTTTTCCAACAGTTAGCCAGGTGGCTGTCCTCCAGATTTCTTGGCACAACTTGATGATCACATCCTGGGCAGTGTCTGTTTGTTGAAATATGTCCATTGGTGTGCCATCAATTCCTGGGCCTTCCTTTTTTGCCAATTCCTTCAGAGTAACTTGGCTTGAACTTTCTCCTTCATCACCACAGGCTCTTGATCATATGTTGTTTCATGAAATTCTTCTGTATCAGCCAGTTCTGTTTGGTATAGTGACTCTGTATACTTCTTCCATTTTCTTTTGATGTTTCCTTGGTCATTCAGTATCCTGCTCACAGCATCCTTAAGTATTGCAACTCATAGCTTAAATTTCTTCTTCAGTTCTTTCAGCTTCAGAAATGCTGAGCGAGTTCTCATCCCTTTTGATTTTCTGATTCCAGCTCTTTGCATATTTCATTAAAATACTTTGCTTTGTCTTCCAGTCCTGTTCAGCTCCTTAACGTCTTGATTTTTTCCCTTTGTTTTGGCTTCTTGGTGCTCTAGTGTAGTATTCAGAGTCTAATTTGACTCCCTTCATGGTCTTTTCTTCCTCTTCTGTGTTTGTAAGGACTTCTTGCATTTTTTGTGAATGATATACTTGATATTCTTCCACTGCTCCTCTGCTTTTTGCTCATTAGTATTCAAGCCCTCACACCTGAGATGGTCTTTAAATTCAGGGGGGATATAATGAACGTCAAACTTTGGTTCTTGTGGATTTGATATGACTTTTTTAAACTTCAGTTTGAACTTGCATATGAGTAGTTCATGATCTGATCCACAATCAGCCTGTGGTCTAGTTTTCACAGTTGATATTGAGCTTCTCCAATGATTTTTCCCACCTATGTAATCATTCTGACTCCTGTGTAGGTTGTTAGGTGAGGTCCATGTGTATAGTCACCGTTTGTGTTTCTTATAAAAAATATTTACAATGAATAAATCATTGATTGTTCAAAATTCTGTCATTCTGTCTCCAACCTCATTTCTGTCACCACGTATATGTTTCCAGGCTGCTAATCCTTCTTCCTTGCTCCCAACTTTTGCA